TCTAGTCCACTGGAAGAGCAACAAGCAGTCTTCCTACTATGCCATCTCTTCAGCCTTCTCTCTCTCTCTCTCTCTCTCTCTCTCTCTCTCTCTCTCTCTCTGTGGTGGTTTGTTTGTTTATTTATTTATTTATTGAGACAAAGTCTCACTATGTAGCTCTAGCTCTACTGGATCTGCCTCAGACTCACAGAGATCCACCTGCCTGTGCATCCTGCATGCTGGTATTAAAGGCATGCATCACCATGCTTGACTTTTTTTTTTAATGTTTAAGAAGGGGTGTGTGTGTGTGTGTGTGTGTGTGTGTGTGTGTGTGTGTACACACATGCAGGTGATTTGGAAGTCAGAGGGCAATTTTGTGGAGTCAGTTCTCCCCTACAACGGGTTCTGAGGATCTTATTCAGGTCATCAGAGTTTCATGGCAAGTGCTTTTACCCACTGAGCCATGTCGACAGACCCAAGACCTCTTAGTGATTTCCAGGCCAGTGAGGCACCCTGTGCCAAAACAAAACAAATAGAAAAATCCAACAACAAAAAAGTGGGCAGCTCCTAAGGAATGGCTCCTGAAATTGTCTTCTGGATTCCACACTGACTCCACACTTAATGTGCATGTGCTGCCCCTCCCTCTAGGTTCCCAAAAAAGACTGACTGGAGTTCTCAGGAATGACTTCGAGGTCACAGTGGAAAGAAAGGGCTGTGGTGTTGCTCAGTAGTACAGTGCTTGCCTAGCGTCAGTTGGGACGCTGAGTTCAATCCCCAGTACCATAAAACCCAGCAAAATCACATCTCAAATAGACCAGCAAAAGTTATTCTCTGTTTTATAATCAAAAGAGCCCCGCAGAATTGGGAAAAAGCTCTAACTTGTAACTGTTATTGCTCAGAACCTTGTTACCTTTGCCATGGTTAGGAATGTTCTAGTATTAAGAAATAGCCATTAGCAAGTAGTCACCTTCATCATCACTGTTGCTAATTCTAAATCCAACTCAGACCTCCCATAGCCTGTACCATAGAAAAGGTGCCCTGTAAGTTCCTCCCTCCCTTCTCACATTCCTCCTTCCCTCCCTCTCTCTCCTCTTCTCCTTCCCTTTCTTTCCCTCCCTCCCTTCCTTCCAAAGATCTCACTTTGTAGCTTTGGCTGGTCTAGGACTCACCGTATAGACCAGGCTGGCCTTGAACTCTGAGATCCATCCACCTGCCTCTGTCTACTGAGTGCTAGGAGTAAAGGTTTGTGCCACCATGCCTGGAAAGTCTGTTATTTTATAATGAAATTTAAAAAAAAAACCTAACATTGTTCTTTTACCTTTGAATTAAATAATCTATACCAAGTTTTCTCACAATTTAAATGTGCTCTGTGGATAAAAAGCCTCAGTGAGGGAGGAAAACAAAGACAAAATGAGCTACCTAAACTGCGGACAGGTCAGTGTTACTAGACACTGAACAAAGACAACTTAAACTGCGGACAGGTCAGTGTTACCAGACACTGAACAAAGACAACTTAAAATGAGGACAGGTCAGTGTTACCAGACACTAAACAAAGGCAACTTAAAATGAGCTACCTAAACTGAGGACAGGTCAGTGTTACCAGACACTAAAAAGTGGCCAAATAAAGTAGAAATTGAAAGGCAATAATTTGATTTGGTAACGCTTAATATTATTGGTGTTCTTGAAGGTTCTAGACAGAGGAGGCTCTGAAGCTAATTGTAGGATTTTCAGGGTACAAGTAAAAGAGAAGTATTAGAGCTAGAAGATGGCCCAGTGCATGTGGATTATATCCTAAAACTGCATGAAGATAGTAGGACCATCTGTGAGGAAGTACAGCTTCAAAGGTGCTTCACTTTTGCATTTTATGTAGCTTGATGTTGCAGTGTGTGCTGTTAACACCTTATCTTCTGCTTAGAGATGTCCTAACCATTGGCTAATGCACTTTATAATGAATGGACAGTTAGTCACTGGCCTAGTTTAGAATTACAGTTTAAATTCCTGATAACTGATTAAACATGTTAGTGTGATTTAGAGAATAGTTTTAGAGAACTGGGCATTGATTGGATCAATTACTTTTCAGCATGGCTTTTTGAACTTCAGTCAGTAGTAGATATTGGGGAAAAAAAGCACAAGGTAGGAAAATTGCTTTTATAGAAAGTGGTGCCAGGTGTATTTCTTTATAGTATATAAGACCCAGCTTTTAATTATTCTAAGTAAATATTTGGCAATTTCAATTTCATTAGATTCTGCAGCCAGAATAGCTCTTGTTTCCCTCTTGAGAGTGGAATTGGCAAAATATATACACATTATGCGGCATTATTTTCTAAACAGTACTTAACATGAATAAAGCAGGTTCACGACCAGGGGCAGTGATTTAATGTTCTAAACTCTGACAGTAGATATGGAGTATATTTATTTTAGTCTTAATAACAAATTTTTGATATTTCAGGCATTGTATGATGGTCTCTATGAACTTTGGTTTTAAAATAAATCCATTGTGTTATGCAGAGGAAGAGAGTCTGAGGAATGAAAATGGAATTGCTCAACAAGGTCCTGAGCAGGAGAAGGGGAGGGGGAGAGAGAGCCCCAGTGAAGGGCTAGCTCTAGGTGAAGAGAAGAGTCTGGAGAAGGGATAAGGGAGAGAGAGCCCTGATGAAGGACTAGCTACAGGTGAAGAGAGGAGTCTGATTTCTTACTACTTTTCCTGGAGGGAACTGCTTCACTTATAAATACCATCTCATTTTAGTTAGTTTGGGAATTATTTGCATGGTAAAATTCATGATTCTGATTTACTTGGAATGAGCTTTGTTTATAATGGTTAAGTGGTAATTTCATTTTTTCTGGTCTCCAATGATAAATTTAATAGTAATTAATATTTTATTGTTGCCTTTTCATTGGCACTTTTTTCCTTCTTTCCTTTCCTTTTCTTTTTAGACAGGGTCTCACTATGAAGCGCCCTGTTCGGGATGAAACTTGCTATGTAGACTGGGCTGGTTTCAAACTCAGATCCTCCTGCCTCTACTTTCTGAGTGCTGGAATTAAAACTGACTCTTTGATTTTCTTATTTTAAGTTTTAAAAATTATTTGTTTACTGATTTTTTAAATGCTTTTTAAGTTTCTGGTAGACTTTATAACATATTGACTTTAATAGCTGTTAATTCTAAACTTAAGCAGAAAGAACCCAAACTTTCATTGGAAAAACTGTTCTTCTATGATTTTTCTGAAGTTATGCTTAGGAGACAAAGAGACACTGATCTCATAATTCTTAGGGTAATTAATGTTCTTTCCTTTATGAAACCACCCTGCTTTCTTTTAAAACCTTATTTGTCTATTTATTTATTACATGTGTGGGAGTAGGGATGGGATATGTGTACATACTATGACATGTATGTAGATGTCAGAGGACAACTTTTAGGAGTCAGTTCACCTTGCTTTTGAATCAGGGTCTTTTGTCTGTCTCAAGAGCTGCTGGGTGGTTCTCCTGTATCCCTCTCCCATGTTACTGTAGAAATATTGGGAACATTTAATGTTTACCCCTCCATCCAGCTATTCAGATTGCACACAAATTTATAAAAAAAATAAAGATCTTATGGGTTTGCTAATGAATTGGATGTATAAGGGAATGGCAGGAAGATGATGAGGGAGAGGGAAATAATTGTAGATCAAGGGAAGAGCTTGTGGAAGAGGAAATAAGATTGTTTTTCTGGAACTTGTTAAATTTGAGATACCTACTGGATATTCAGAGGATATTTAAGTTTAGCATGGAGGAGGGCAGATCAGGCCTGGGCGCCACTAGCATTAACACTGTATGCTACAGGTGCTTATAGAAAAGAAGAGGTATTCCAGAACTGAGCCCCGAGGCAATTACAGCATTGTAGTGAGAAGGGGATGAGCAGAGTAGAAGACATAGTAGGAAAGCCAGAAATAGTATGTTGTGGAATCCAAGAGGAGGGAGCATGTTAAATGTTCACTCTTAAATGATGTTGCAAGGGTGGATATAGTAAGAAGAGGATTGAACGTGTGGGATTTAGTAAAGCCAACATTCATTGACACTGGTGACTTTGACTAAAGTTTCAGTTTCACATTGGCATCAGAAACTGATTAGGAGAGCCAAAGAATGAATGGAAAGTGAAAAGGGGGTCTAGAAGTGAAGGTTTGGCAAGAGAGAAGAGGTGGGATGATTTCCCTCTGAATGCTGTGAATATGTTTTATTACCGTTGGTTAATAAAGAAGCTACTTTGGCCTATGGCAAGGCAGAATAGAACTAGGCAGGAAAACTAAACTGAATGCAAGGAAAAAGAAGGCCGAGTCAGGGAAATGCCATGTAGCTGCCGAAGGAGAAAGACGCTGGAACCGTATCAGTAGGCCACAGACTAGTGGGAACACACAGATTAACAGAAATGAGTTAATTTAAGATGTAAGTGTTAGCCAGGAATATGCCTAAGGTATTTCCAAACAGTGTTGTAATTAGTATAGTTTCTGTGTGATTATTCAAATCTGGGTGGCCAGGAGATGAACGTGTAGTCTTCTTGGTCTGGATGGCTGGGAAACCAACATGTAGTCTCATTTACAGGATGATTATTTGCTTCTGTTTGTTTTAATTGGGAAATGTGCTGATGAGAGAAATATGATAGAAAGGAAAATTAATTGCCGATTCAGGAAAAAGTGTTGACAGCAGGAAAATTCTTGAGATGTTACTGGTGGGACAGGGAGAGAGTACCTTTTCTCTCATAGAGGAAGGATGCAGTGATGTGTCATGACCCCATGTGTCTGTATATGGCTCCTCCCTCCACTCTTTTTTGTTTTTAAGCATTTAGGTTTTTTCTTTTAATAAAAAAATACACTTTGATACAGAGTTCTCGGAAAAGGCTTCCTTTAGACCGCCCCACCTCTCTGACCACTAGTTGCTTTTTCCTCTACTCCGTGTTATGACTTCTTCCAGACTGAATTCATATATAAGCTTTGCCTGATATTTATAGAGATATTTAACATCAATTTAAACTTTCTGTGCCAACAGATGAAGCAAAAAATTTATTGCCATATCTTGGACCCAACAAAATGAGAGATTGTTTCTGCACTATAAATTTGGACCAAGAAGAAGTTTATCGTACCCAGGTTGTTGAAAAGTCTTTAAGGTTGGTAGAAAATAAGAAATTACCATTCATTTGATATATATTCATAGGTTTATGTATTTTCCAGATCTTTAATAAGTTGACTTTTTTGAATTAAAACTAATAACTTTTATTTAAAGATTTTCTTTTCTATTATAAATTTATTTTTAGAATTACAGAATATAAGCATTTTAAGGGATCTTGAATGTTCAGTAAACTGGGCTAACAAGTTTGGACTCCTTAGCAGTAGCTCTGGCTAGTGGTCATGTGGCATCTGCTTACTAGCGTTACAGTCACAAGAATTTCGTGCTTCCTAAGCAGTCTACTTGGTCTTTGAACTGTTCTGACACAGAAAGTGCTTGCGTTTAATTGGTTAATGATTATTAAAATGATATTCAACCGTGTACCAAGTGCTTGCTCAGTTCTGGGTTCTGTTTACTCATCTGTCTGTGAGAATGACATCAATGTAGTGCTTGGTTTCATGTGGCTTTTCATTGCCTTAAAAAGTTTTATTTTTCTTTTGTATTGTCCTAGCTCTGTCTCTTAGATTTTCTGGAGAGCAAATTTAGTGTGTCTTTTACATGACACTATTACATGTTTGAAAACAACTATTGTTAAGACTTTAGTCTGTTCTCTAGGCTAAATTTTGCCTATTTATTAAGTTTTCCTCGAAATGCAGCATTTTATTTCTCCAAAGAATAAATTAGTTCTTAAAGTTCACACAAGTTGAAGCTAGAGAGGTGACTTAGTTGATGAAGTGCTTGATGCACAGATATGAGGACTGGTGTGCCATCCCCAGCACCCATGTGAGAAGCCAGGTGCAGTAGCTCCCACTTGTAGAACCGTGCTGAGGACATGGAGGTAGGGATCCCAGGAACTCACTGACCAGCCAGTATAGCCAAATTGTTCAACAAGAGACTTTATCTCAAAAACTACATTGGAAAATGATTGAGAAAGATACCTGATGTCAATCTCTGGCCTACACAACCCCCCTACCTCTGCATATACACAAGAACAAACAGCCAAATACACACATGCACACTTCATACACGTTAACTTACTAGTATATTATCAGGGAATTAGCCTTTGGTAGATTGTTTTCATCTTTGAAAGTATCTCAGCAAATTCTTAATTTGCCTCCTCTGCCTTGGTGCAGTGTTTGTAATTCTGATTTAGAATTGTGCTAAAGTCACGTGTCATGGCACATGCTTTCAATCCCAGCACTTGGAAGACAGAGGCAGGCAGATCTCCATTGACTGTGAGATGTGCCTGGTCTACATAGAAAGTTCCAGGCCAATCAGGGCTACGTAGTGAGAGCCTGTCTCAAAACAAACAAACAACAAAATCAAAAATCCCACCACCACCAAACTGCTAAAAGGATAGTCTTTAGAGACAAAGCAGTGGAGGATTCTGAAACAAACGTGGTTGGTAAATGAAACTGTTGTCATAATGTATTTCATTCCGTTGGATTTCTGGACTATGCTTTGGTACTGCTTTACTTCCTCTCTTTTAACTTACCTGACTTTTCCTCTGAAGTTTGCCTGTGTCTCCTTTTCTGTTTTTCTTTCTCTTTTCTTTCCTCCACCTTCCCTTTCTTCTCTCTTTTTCCTCTGCACACAGGGTCTTGCTATGTAGCCCAGGTTGGCCTCAAACTCTTACTCCTCATACTTCAGCCTCTGCAATGTCTGTGTTATAGGCATACCCTTCTGCATGCCTTTTTATGTGTTTTAGTTCTTGTGATTTTGAACTCTTCATAAGGAAAGTATTAGACAAAATTAAAGTAGGCCAATATAGAGGCTTAGTCAGTAGGTAAAGATGTATGTCAGCTGTCAAGTGTGACATTTTGAGTTCAGTACCTGTCTGTAGTCAAGAATTTTTCTGTGTCTCAGCTGTTGCTCTCAAATATCCATGCAGAGATTTACTGTTAATTATAAATGCTTGGCCGATAGCTCAGGCTTATTACTAACTAGTTCTTACAACTTAAACTAATCCATTTTATTAACCTATGTGCTGCTCCGAGACTTGTGACTTTTACCTGTTCTGCATACCTGCTTTCTTTCCATCTGGCTGATGACTTCTCTCATTCTATCCTTCTTCCCAGCATTCTCTCTGCCCCCCAAATCCTGCCTAACTATCAGCCAATCAGCTTTTTATTAACTATGAAAGCAATACATATTTACAGTATACAAAGATTGTTCCATAGCAAGTACCCATAGCCCACATAGTGAAAAGAGAGAACCAACTCCCACTGGTTGATTGTTCTCTGACTTCACAATTGTTCTACCCTCAGAAGAGAGTAAATAGTAGCCCCAAAAGATTGGGAGTAATATACTTCAAAGATTTTGTCATAAGTCATATGCACCTATTGATTTAGAATTTTGAGTTTTTCACATTTGTGCATACAAATTCATACATTTTTATTTACATTTATGAATGATGGAATAATGTTACCAAAAGGCTGAATAATTTGTCACATAATGAAGGAAGTTAAAAGAACAGCTGGGATTTGAGACTTGAAATCATTTCAGTTTCAGTCTGTTACAATTTTATATCATAATGTAATCAGTGATAAAATTAAATAGTAATTGTCCATAAGTTGAGTACTTGTAGTTTGTATTATGTAGCCCTATATATCAAAATTACCAGAATTAGCTTGTATTTTTTAATCCTTAACCTTTCTGAATTTTTGTGTAATGGAAAATAATGAGATCAGTTTCCTTTATTTCTTTACCCACCTTTAAAAAACAAGGAATCAATTTGAAAGATAATTTAAAGTTAGCAATGCAAGTACTATAGGCACTTAAGAGTATAGCTAGTTAGATTATTCTTGGATTCTGAGTGCTTTCTAATTTTTACTTCTAGAATGGGGCAAAACAATATTAAAAACCTTTCCTTTTCTTAATTTTATTATAATCTCAATACTTATATACATTGTGATACAGCTGAAAGTAGCTACATAGTAGGTCTTTAACTTTTTCTCCCTTTGAATTTTTTCTTTTTGCTCTTTATTTTTAGTTTTTAATACTTTTAATTATAAATCAGAAAGTACTGTAGAATTACCAAAAGAATTATGTAAGATATTTTGCTTTTAAAGATCTCTAAATCAAATCAAAACCCTTAATAATGAAGAAATTTAAAATATTAGTAGACTCAGATATTTCATAAAAGATGATATATAAATGCTTTGGAGACACATGAAAAGAGATTGAGCACCATTAAATCATCAAGAAGATTGAGCACCATTAATTACCAAGAAAACACACTATTTTCATCACTCTTAGGATTTAACCAGTAATGTAATGATAGAACTTTCATCAGTTGACTTACTATGTGGCAGAGTAATTGCAGAGGATACAAGGGAAGTTTCTGGGTCATAGGTTTTATTTTTAATTCAATCTTTGAAAATTGTGTGTAGTTGGACTTACGTTTGGGACCACCAGCCCCAAATAATGACAGAATGACTTCTTATTAATTATAAGCTTGGCCTTTAGTTTAGGCTCATTCCCAACTAGCTCTTGTAACTTTAATTAACCTTCTGTTAATCTACATTCTGCCATTTGACTTTTTACCTCTTCTCCATTCTGCATGTCCGACTCCCTTGTCCAATACCCTTCATGTCTCCCTGGCATCTCTCTCACATGCCTAGATTCATTCCTCTCTGCCTAGAAGTCCTGCCTAACCTCTCCTGCTTAGCTGTTGGCCATTCAACTCTTTATTAAACCAGTCAGGTGCCTTAGGCAGGCAAGGAAAAACTGTGACACATCTTTGCACAGTTTGCTCAACTATCCCACAACAATTCTATATGTGGGTGTATTGTCTTTTAAATCATACCTCTTGTACATCCTCTGAACTCCTTCTGACAAGTTCTCCTGTTCTCATTTATTTTTGTGTATGTGTGTGACCCATTGAGTTTAATTTAATTAGTTTAATTAGCATGGGTAGAACATTATTTACTGGAGCATGGGCAACTAATCAATGACTACACCACTGAAGAAACCATTTTCCCTTTTCCAGTAGCCATTAACTGCCCGTGGAGCCTCCCAGGCCTCTTACCCAACAATGATGGGTCAGTCTATAAAGTGCTTGCCTTGAAAACATTGAGAACTTCATTTTATATACTTAGCAACCTATGTAAAAAGCCAAACACTAGTGGTGTAATCCCAAGACTGAGGGTGTGGAGACAAGAGGATCCCTGGGACTTGTTGGCCAGTCACTGTAGCCAAATCAGTAAGCTACAAGTTCAGCTAGAAACCCTATATCAAAAAATAAGATAGAGACAGTTGGAGGAAGATGCTCGACTTCAGCTGTTGATCTCTATACTCATGTACACATACACGTACACACACACACACACACACACAAATCTGCTCACTTAGTAAAATGCGTGTTGTGCAAGCTTGAGGACCTGAGTTTGGATCCTGAACGTCCGTGTAAAAAGCTGTTTGCCATGGCATGAAAATGAGCTGGGCCTGAAGGAACAGGAAGATCCAGCCTCAGGGAAAGACACTGTCTTAAAACATAAAGTGGAGACGGATTGAGGAAGACACTCAACATTGATTGATAGTCATACACTCACACTGTGCACAATATACACACACATAGAAAGAGATATTATCACTGGGCTAAGAATATAGCTCAGTGGTAGAGTACTTGCTTAGCATATGTAATGCCCCAGGTTCTAGGCCCTGGATTCCCTCACCCCCATAAAATGAGTTGTTTGCGTAAGGTACTAGGGTGGTAACGGTGTTCTATATTTTGATGGAGATGAAAGCTGCATAGGTTTGTAAATTTATCAAAAGCCACCAACCTCCATATATCAGATTTGATAATATATAATATATAAATAATTTGGGAAAGATGCTGAAAATATTTAATGTTCAGTATTTATAATACATTTAAAATTATTTTATATAGCATTATCCATTTTAGGTGCTATGTATTATTGTGACCAGAACAACTTTATGTAGTTACATTTTTCTAAGATAATAGTGTGAATGACTTTGTTCTTGGCTCTCTTTTAGGTCTACTGTAGTGACCATGGCCTAGGCAATTATTGGTTCTTCTGTCCACAGGACCTTCTGAAAAGCTATATATTTAGAATTCTTTTGGCACCTGGGTTTTTTTCACTTCAGCTTGATTTGTACAGGATTTGTCTGAAACAGTAATGAGAGTAATTTTGGGGTTTTTGAAGTTCTTTTCTAAAGAATTTTATTTTATAATTTCATTGATGTTTATTTGAAAGTGACATTTGAATGTAATTTTATTTAATAGTACCATTTTAATAGTAGTAGTAATGGATTATTTAATAGTAATCATAGATATATATTATTTAGCATAATAAGCATTCTCTTTTCTCTCTAGACCATATTTCAGTGAAGAATTTTACTTTGAGATTCCAAGAACTTTCCAGTATTTGTCGTTTTATGTTTATGATAAGAATGTTTTACAAAGAGATCTTCGTATAGGTAGGTACAATTCACATATATGGGTTTTTTTTTTCTTCAAGAAAGGGTTTCTCTGTGTAGCTCTGGTTGTCCTGGAATTCACTCTGTAGACCAGGCTAGCCTCGAACTCACAGAGATTCTCCTGACTCTGTCTCTTGAGTATTGGGATTATCAAGATAAAATATTTGTAAAATGTGGACTCCAAACCCAAGTCCTTTGGAGTATTAGTCATTGCTCTTGAGTGCTAAACCATCTTTTTCAGCTCCTTACCCCTGTTTATCTTCCTTTAAGATCATATCACTGTTATTTCCCAGACTGGTTTTGAACTGGTGGATCAAAAGGTCATTCTACCCCATTTGCTTTAGTAGATGATATTACAACATGCACCATTAGACCTGATCTATCACATTTGTATTTATAGATGTATATATACCTGCATTTTTCTCATCACTAGAACAAAATAGCTGTCAGAAGCAACTTGAGGGAGGAAGGATTGCTTTGATTTAAAGTTGTAAAAGATTTCATCATGGAGAGAAAGACACAGCAGTGGGGGTGACCCAATCTTTGTCACTGGGAGCATAAAGTGGCCAGTTTCATCCTGGTATTTGACTAGGGAGCAGGGAGAATGGGACAAGAACTAGGGCTCAGATGCCTGTACCAGTTACCTGTTTCCATCATTAAGGCACTAAACCTCCCCAGACAACATTAGCTGAGGGCCAATGTTAAAATACATGAGCTGTGGGGAAAGATTCCAGATTTGAACCGTAACAATTTGTTAGCTTTTGTCACTTTCACTGCTGAGTACTTGTTCTTTCCCATAGTTTTAAATTCTTATCTGCCTCAGAGCTTATTGAAAGTCAGCAGATGTTGACTGAGGTTTCTGTCCCACCTGGTCCTGCAGTCATTATTAAGTCCCAAAGAAATACAGAGGTCTATATTAATTATAAACTGATTGACCTAGTAGCTCAGGCTTCTTATTCATTCTTTCTTACATCTTAAATTAGCCCATTATTCCTGTCTGTGTTAACCATGTGGCATGGTACCTTTTTCGGCAAGGCAGTCACATCTTGCTTGCTCTGTGTCTGGGTGACAACTGGAGACTGACTTTCCTCTCCCAGAATTCTCCTGTTCTCATTGCCCTGCCTCTACTTCCTGCCTGGTCGTCCCACCTATACTTCCTGCCTAGCTACTGGCCAATCAGTGTTTATTTAAAATACAAATGACTGGGTACAGACCATTGTCCCACAGCATTCCCCCCCCCTTTTTAAAATAAGAACTCTGAAATGAATCTCCTTTGTTTAGCTTTTCTACTAACCATTAACCATAACAACTTCTAATCAACATTCTAAACAAAGACAAATTTTTTAGGAATGTGGGTATAGTTTTCCAGGAAACTTCATGCTGATTGGGGGCGCTTATAATCTTATGGGGACCAAAAGAAAATTTAGAATTACGTCCTGCTCTGGATTGAACAAAAGTACCTGGGAGCAAATGAGGCGGGATTCAGGTATAAAGAATCCCCAGTGAACACTGATAAGGTGTTATCAGAAGGTAGGAAGAGGGACAGGAGAGCGTAATATCTATCACATAATATGAGATCTTTCAATGTCAGAGAGGTAAAGTAAGGATTGGAAAGAAGCTGTTGGTTATTAGCAGCATTCGAGAGTAACTGATAGTTAACTGCATGCTACTGGGATGCTGTGTTTTCATTGCCCCTTTACATATCATATAGTCTTCATATAGTATTTCTTGACAAGGACTTTATTATTTATTTCACAAAAATTATAATAGTTTACTAAAGTTGCCTTTGCTATTTGCTTTATTTTTTTTTAGTATTTATTTTGAAGTAAATTCACCAGGCATGGAAGTTCACACTTGTACCAAGAGATTGAAGCAGGAGGATTGCTTTGAGTTTGAGGATATCTTGGGTTACCGAGTAAGACTTCCATCTAAAAAAGAAAACCAGACAAATATTTCTTTAAAAAAGCAATTACTAGCCAGGCAGTGGTGGCTCATGCCTTTAATCCCCATCACTTGGGAGACAAAGGCATATAAGGCCAGCATGGTCTACAGAGCAAATTACGGTACAGCCAATGCTACACAGAAACAAAAACAAAAATGGTGGGGTGGGGGATGAGAAGAAGAACATTTGCTGCTGAAATGTTGTACTTATGGGGCTGATTGCCTTTTGGAAATCACGTGTATCAGGTGTATTTACTGTGATCTTAAAGATGTAGTAGAAAAGATAAATTTCTGTGTAGCTTTTAGGCAAATGTTTTGTTAAATAGGTTTAAGTTGAGGCAACATGGAACATGAATCACTGTAATAGTACCAGTGTGATTTATATTATGAGGGCATGAATTGCTCAAAGCAATAAAGTTCCAAATAAAAAACTTAAAACTCTCCCTTTTACAGTACTTGCTGTATATATGTACATCTGCATAATTGCAAAGTATGCATAAAGCTTTAAAGTTATGGAAATGATAGGATAGAGGTTCTCCAGAGGTTGTTCTTCTTGACAGAAGGATTCTCTCATTCATGCTCATTCTTACTCATTCATTCATATATAGTCTGTCTCCTCCCTGTAGTAGGAAGGCCACTTTTTGTTCCTGGCTGCTCAACCCTGAAATAACCACACAGAAACTGTATTAATTAAACCACTGCTTGACCTATTAGCTCTAGCTTCTTACTGGCTAATTCTTACATCTTAACCCGTTTCTATTAATCTGTGTATCATCATGTGGCTGTGGCTTACTGGCAAGGTTTGGCATCTGTCTCTGGTGGGGCTACAAGGCTTCTCCCTGCCCCCACCTTCTTTCTCCCAGCATTCAGTTTAGTTTTCCCTGCCTAGCTCTGCTCTACCCTATCACATGCCCAAAACAGTTTATTAACCAATGGTATTCACAGCATACAGAGAAGAATCCTACATCACTTCCTCTTTTTTGTTTAAATAAAAAGGAAGATTTTTAACTTTAATATAACAAGAATACATACAACAAAACAGGTATCAAGCAAGAACCACAGTTACAATATTTATATTTATTTTATCTTTTATCGTAACTAAGGAAAACTATAACTATAGCTATATATTCTTCAACTCCATCAAGGACTCCAGAAGGATATAATATTACCTAAGTAAGCAGGAAGTGCTTTGTAAGCAACTTCCAAAACTCTAGAATTGACAGAGATAGTCACCTAAAGTTCTTCTATAACATGGGGGCATCCAATCTTTAGTCTACAGGCCTCTGGTATCTGGCAGACTTTTCCATGAACAAGGAAATTTTAAAGACAGGTCTGTCTATATTGACAGTTTGTCAGTCACTTTTTTTTTAATGTCCTGCAGAATGTCTAGCAGACTCTTTCATTCAGCAGGAACCCCGAAAGATCGTCTCACCTTTAGGCAAGTTCAGCAGTCATTTCTCTGTGGGTCCTGCATGTCAAGAAGTCCAGGCAAGAGCAGTTTCTTGCCCAAATTGCTAACCAATGCCATAAGGAGCCTCTTCAGTGCCCCTCATCCTCTTGAAGTAATTTGGTGCTGCCAGGCACAGATGTGTCTCACTGTCACAAAAAGTCCTAAGTTCTTAAAACATTTTAAATGCCATATTCTGTAATCTTTGAAAGATTTGAAGAATACATATCCTTCTGAAATATATCTCCGTACATTTAGAAAATCTAACTAACATGACTGCAAGCTTGACTATTATAGATGACTGTCTACTAACTTCGTGATTATACATTACATTTTTAAATGAGCCGGACAAACAATACCTTAATCAAGAACAGAAATATACATATAACAAGATTGACCTTAAATTTGTATCAATAAACCAAAATCCATACCAATGCAAATCTCTATAGCATATCCCCCCTTTAAATGTAAATAATTCTTTATAAATAATATTAGGGAAGTTAGGCATAGTTCTCTCTAAACTGCTTCCTGCTTTAGTTGGGTGACTTTTTTTGGGGGATGTTCATGGTGACCTTTCAGGGGCTCTTGGTCCATCAAACTACATTAGCCTGGAATGAATCCATAAGTTCTCATCCTCTGTAGAAACAAAAGAAGAGCCTCTTTTCCAAAGCAGCATATCCTTAGATCCAAATGTCGAAGACAAGATACTTTTAAAGTATATATATGTTGGTTACTTAGCTCCCTCATAGTCAAAAATTCAAAGAAAATACAATAATATACATAATCCAGACTATGTATATTCTATCTTTACGTGGCTTATTTTTCTTACTCTTACTTTTTCAACAAGTTTAATATTTATTTTATTATCTTTACTCCTTTAATCTATGACTGTACTCTTTTATGTTACATTTACTATCTCTTTACTCTTTTCTTCTCTCTCCCAAGCCTATGTACATTTTTTTAACATGCTGTATCTTATCTAGAGGTCTTTTATGTCTGAATCTGTTTTTATTGCATATCTGTAATCCTTTTCTGAACAGGATGGCTTGTTAAAATGCGAAACGCTTTTTAAAAGCCTAAGTGGCAGTATTGCTAGGGCAAAGAAGGCCCTACATACTTTCTCCACCCAGTCCAGCATGGTGGAGCTGTTTGCTGCCTCTGGGAGCCATGAACACTGCCCCATTTTTAGGCACACAGTGGTCTAAGTTGCCATTAGGAGTGTTGTAGCACTCCGCTCTCAGAACCCATTTAAATGCTCTGTAGCCGGATCTCCCTAAAGAGTCAGAGTTTGTGCTGGCAGCATGGCCCAGGGAGCCACCATTTGAAAAACCATGTGGCTTTTTCTGCTACCACTGAATCAGAAAGATCTCTCTTAAGGGAGTTGCAGCAAGCCGCCAGCCAAAACAAAACAAAACAAAAACATGCAGCTACTCTTTGTTTTTTAGTGTCCAGAATTCCTTTTTAATCTTTCTCAAGTTTTACATGGATTTAGTCAGTCCTACGTTGGTACACCAATTTCTAGTAGGAAGGCCACTTGTTAGTTCCCAGCTGCCTAGCCCTGAAATAACCACACAGAAACTGTATTAATTAAATCACTGCTTGGCCCATTAGCTTTAGTTTCTTATTGGATAACTCATATCTTAACCCATTTCTATTAATCTGTGTATCGCCATGTGGCTGTGGCTTACCAATAGGGTTCAGCATCTTTCTCCGGCAGGGCTATATGGCTTCTCTCTGCCGCTGCCTTCTTTCTCCCAGCTTAGTTTTTCCTGCCTAGCCTTGCTCTACCCTATCAAGCCAAAACCAGCTACTTTATTAACCTATGGTTTTCACAGCATACAGATGGGAATCCCACATCACTCCCCCTCCTTTGCTGGCTTGAGATCACAATTCTCCTGCATCTGCCTCCTAATTGCCAAGGTTTTAAGCATGTGCTACCACACCTGGCCTAGTAAACTCTCTTAAAACTATATGCTAGGGCTGGGACCATAGCTCAGTAGCAAAGTGCTTTTATAGTATGCCTGAGATCCTAATAACAAGAAAAACTAAAAAGAAGTAACTATATAAATTTAAGATGTTAAAAGTTGCATGCTAGATAGTCTCTGTACCTTTTCCTGGGTAGATGATAGCAAAGACATTCCCTTACAAAAACCTGTAAAGATAAGAACTTCAGCTGTAGGGTGTATGCATGCATTTGCGTGTGTGTGTGTTTTCTATGTATATATGTATTTTTAAAGTACCAAGCTATTATTCATTCCCTTAAAATTTATTTCTGATGCAGAATCAGTGATAATAGGAATTACAGTAGTTATGATTATCTCGCATTCATCCCATACTAAATTGAATTTCATTATTTTCTATCCTGAGCCATTTCAAGTATATTGATTTATTAAGAATTTTGTACAATCCATAGAGTAAACATTTCAAGAAATTTTTATCATTTGACCCTCAATCTAAATTCCATAGCAGTATAAGGAATGTTTGCTTCTTTTAGTTAATGCCTATTTCTATACTTAGATATCAGTGTGCACATTCAGTACAAGAGTGATTTCAGTTTTACCTTCGTATCTCATCTTAAAATTCACAAAAATCCCTGAAGTACATTTTTCTAGTGTCATTTTGTACAATTCTAGCTTATCACACAAAGATTTTTCTTTATATTAGATTTCACTCAAAATATTTTTTAAACATCATCGGTTTAAAGTTTTATGTATTTTAAATTTTCTGTGTTAAATTGATGAATTTTCAGTAGGTCTCCTTTGAGTAGCAGTATTATAACAGTTGCCATTCTATTAAAAATCTAATTGTATATCTTTTTTCTTTAAATTATATACATATTTATCTTAAGTTTTAAGTTATAAATACGGAGATTAAGTTTATAAAACTAATATGTTAAAAAGTTAGGTAGCAACTTTATTAAGGTGTAAGTCACATACCGTAAAATTTCTCGTTTTAAAGTGTGTATTATAGGGGTCTGGAGAGATGGCTCAGCAGTTAAAAGCACTGGTTGCTCGTCTAGAGGGCCCAGGTTCAAGTCCCAGCACCCACATGGCAACTAAGAACTTCAACTCCAGTTGTAGGGGATCTGACACCCTCACATAGATATATGTGCAGTTAAAACACAAATGCACATAAATTAAAAAATAGTTATTTTTAAAGTGTGTATTATATTTAAATCTTATTTTTTAATGACTCAGAAAACCATTTTATATATCATTTTATATATAGATGAGAAAGAAAAAAACATGGTAAAAAATGATAAGATTTTGGAAGTTCTGGGTGAAAAAAGTAGAAATTTTTTGTATTGTTCTTGACAACTTTTTTCCAAATTTGAAAATCTTTTTTGGAGGGCGGGGGCAAAGTCTCTTTATATATCTCTGGCTGTCCTGGAACTCATTATGTAGACCAAGCTGGCCTTTAACTCACAGTGATCCCCCTGCCTCTGCTTCCTGAGTGCTGAGATTATCAAGATAAAATATTTGTAAAATGAGAAAAGTGAGAAAAGCTTGCACTATTTTTTAAATATATCTTGCAGTTGTATGATCACCATCTGTTTCCAGAAAAAAATAAGTTTTCCTGTTTATTTTTCGATCTTCCTTTTCACTTGCTATCCCAAAATTTATACTTCTACTCATAAAAATTCACCATTTTCTTAGTGTTTTCAACTGTTGAGCTAAAAATAAGATATGTTACAAGCAAAAGGACAGTTATGTAGTTGAGGTACTTAAAAGGAAAGTAGTTTTTTTAAAAAAAAATTTTAGGTACTTTGATATTTTGTCTGCATGTATGTCTGTGTGAAGTGAGAGTATTGGATCCCCTAGAACTGGGGTTGCAGGCAGTTGTGAGCTGCCATGTGGGTGCTGGGAATTGAGGGTATTACCTTTGGACGGGTAACCGGTGTTTTAATTGCTGAGTTATCTCTCCAGCCCCATGTAGTTCCTTTTTAGAAAAGGAAAAAGTAAATTGGTTTTAAACCATAACATATCTCCTTTGTTGGAGCTTTTGTACAATCTTTGAATTGAGGAAGGAAATGCTTTGCACCAACATGGCAAATACTTCATTTGAAGATTATTTCTTTTCTACTACATTGTTCATGATCTTTCCTTGGTAGATAGGTGCCTTAATTTTGAAAATATATGAATTGAAGCAGTATAATCAGTTTAATAATGTTTTGATAAAGTGAAATTTTAATAAGATAGTTTTTGAGGTCCTTCTTATTAATAGGTGATGTTATTTGTCCTTTGTTGTAATTGCAACATATAACCTCTTTCTAAATGCAGATATAACTGCTCAAAATTAGGCAGCACATTTACTTCATTCACGGTGTTACAGAACCTGGAAAATTATAATGCACCGTCATTTATATTTTGTTTTTTATCCTGAATGTACTAGTAAAATATTAATTTGAGTAAGTGCTAAACTATATTAAAGTTCAACTCAGGTCTTCCTTCCCTTCCTTCCTTCCTTCCTTCCTTCCTTCCTTCCTTCCTTCTTTCTTTTTTCTTCCTTCCTTTCTTTTGTTTTTCTGGTATTTTGAGACAGGGTTTCCCCTTGTAGATTAGACTGGCCTCAAATTTACAGAAATCCCTCTGCCTCCTGAGTGCTGGGATTATGGCTGTTTTTCTAATCCCAATTCAGACCCATCAAAGGGTCTACCAATGAACAAACAAAAATAAGACATTTCTCTTTTAGGGTATAGCAGGAAAGTACATTGTAGAAATAGGTTTTTAAATTCTGTACTCACAGCCAGGCAGTGGTTGTACATGCCTTTAATCCCAACACTTGGGAGGCAGAGGCAGGTGGATCTCTTTGAGTTCGAGACCAGCCTGGTCTACAAAGAGAGTTTGAGGACAACATGGACCCTATCTCCAATAAATAAATAAATTAAATAAATAAAATCTGTAATTCCAGCACCCAGAAGGCTAAAGCAGGAAGATCACCATGATTTCAAGTCTATATTAGTCTATATAACAAGTACCAGCACAGCTAGGGCTACATAGCAACATCCTATTTCAGAGAAAGGGTGGTGGTAGATTTTTATATCAACATATTTAAGTCTAAAGTATTTTCCACAAAGTATGAAACACTGCTAATGAGTCATAAGGTTGTATAAAATATGTTTTCTTATCATCTTATTAATTTTCTGTAGGAAAAGTAGCCATCAAAAAAGAAGACTTGTGTAATCACAGTGGTAAAGAAACTTGGTTTTCACTGCAGCCTGTTGACTCGAACTCAGAAGTTCAGGTACGTTAAACCTATAAGAGACTGTGACATAAAAAAAAATTAATGAAAACCAACTAATTATACTAGTTCATACTGTTATTATAGACCTTCAAGTAATAGAGAGCTGGAAGGAGGTGGCTTTTCCATGCAGATATAAAAATAAGGTATGAATGGTGAGATAGCTCACTAGGTAAGGTGCTTGCCGCTAAACCCAATGACCTGAGTTTAATCTCTAGAGTCCCTGTAAAGGTGAACAGAGAGAACTAACTCTCGCCTCTGACCTCCATACATGTTCATGGCACCTAAACACATAAATACACATGTACATACATGTATTCATAGAGGACTAACCACAAAATAATAAAAATCTAAAAGACATTTAAAGAAGGTAGTCATGAGCAAAGTACAATATATACATAGTTAGAAATGCCACAGTGATATTCATTAAAAAGTACCATTGATAATTATAAGAAAAAATAATGTGTGTGTGTGTGTGTATATATATATATATATATATAGTTTAGGAGTTTCATTTGTTTGTCTTTGAGGCAGGGTCTCTCTATGTAGCCCTGACTATCCGGTAACACAATATGTAGCCTAGGCTGGCCTGGAACTCATAGAGGTCCACCTGCCTCTGCCTTCTAGTGCTGAGATTAAAGGTGCTACCACACCCAGCAAGAAGACATTTCCTTCATTTCTGAGACCCAGGAGCAAATTACTGCATTTTTATTTTATTTTTTTTAATATTTATTTATTTATTATGTATACAATATTCTGTCTGTGTGTATGCCTGCAGGCCGGAAGAGGGCACCAGACCTCATTACAGAGGGTTGTGAGCCACCATGTGGTTGCCGGGAATTGAACTCAGGATCTTTGGAAGATCAGGCAATGCTTGTAACCACTGTGCCATCACTCCAGCCCTGCATTTTTAAAAGATGAAACATTTTAAAGGAAAAGTTGTTTTGTTAACTCTAACCCTTGGGGAATACATGGAAGTCTGATTTTATTCATTTTTATCTGGATGCTTTTATTCCATTTCTAATTAACTAGACTTGGAAAAGGTGTTACTTTTTTTTGACAGTTTGAGTGTGAAATTTATTTGAGATAAAGGGAAGAGAGAATGATAGAAGAAAACAGAGATGGGGGGAGGGGGAGTAGCCAGAAAAGGTTACTTTTTAAAACCATGGGGGGGGGGGGGTCTGCAATACACAGCCTTCATTCCTACCTCCCCCTTCCTGTTCACCTCTTTTTATCTGAAAGGTAGCATTATGCTTATTAGTTTCTTCTTTCCTCTTCTCAAAATCAAAATCACATTTCTGCACAAAATGTATATTGAAGTTTCTAGAAAGCTTGAGTTTTTACGATTTAGAAAATATTTCTAAGGGAATCTTTTTTTTTGTAACCCTATTATTTATTAAATACAGTAATGGTTGTAAAACCATTTCTAAGATCATAACTGCAGTCAGGAGTCCTTTTCTGCTGTAGAGGCTATAATTTGCCACTAGGACTCAGACGGTTAAGACAAAGGAAGAAACATACCCACAGATACTTTGCAAATAAAGTGTGTTTTCATTTTCTCATAACCTTTCATGCAATCTCTGTGATTCAGTTCTCAAAAAATAAGTATTGTTTGCTGAAATTCCTTAAGTACAAAATATAGCCAAGCTCTTTTTGTTTTATCTACTGTACCCCATTTTAATAATCATTCTTTGCATTTGACCATAAGTATTGTTCAGATCCCAGTAGTATAGCTTTGTCAGTAACCCAGGTGAGAAGCAATATGAAGAAGTAGAATGGAGTGAAATTAGAAGCCAGAAGACTTTTACTGAGTGATTTTATATGGTTATTTTAATGACCTTTAGCTTCATTTCTGTAAAATGAGAATAAAACTCACCAGTTTGGCTCATATAGCATGAGAAGAATACTTTAAAACTATTAGTTTTGAGCTGTGTTGTAGTTCAGTTGGTAAAGTGTTTGACTATCGTGTGCAAAGCTCTCGGTGTGAGCCTCAGTATTACAGAAACTGAGCATCTTGGTGTAAACCTATAGTCCCAGAACTGAGGAAGTGAAGGCAGGATTTTAAGGCCAGCCAGGCTGCATAAATTTTTGTTTTTAATACAAACAAACAAACAACCTGTTAATCTCTATACAAATGTAAATTTATTACCACTAGTCAATCTGGTGGTGTCCTACTTAGGGTTTCTGTTGCCCTGAGAAACACCTTGAGCAAAAAAGCAAGTTGGAGAGGAAAGAGTTCATTTGACTTACATTTCCATATTGCTTTTGTGGTCATTTGAATGAAAATGGCCCCATAGACTAATAGGGAATGGCACTATTAGGACACATGGCCTTGCTGGAGTGTGTGACTTTGATGGAGGAAGTGGGTTACTTTGGGTGGACTTTGAGCTCTCTGATGCTCAAGCTAGGCCCAGCGTGGCATTTCCTTGCTGCTGCCTGCAGATCAAGATGTAGAGCACTTGGCTCCTTCTCCAGCATCATGTCGGCCTACATGCTGTCATGCTTCTTGCCATTATGATAATGGACTAAACCTCTGAATTATAAACCAGCCCCCAAAATGTTTTCCTTTATTAGAGTTGCCATAGTCATGGTGTTTCTTCACAGCAGTAAAACCCAAACTAAGACACTGTTTATTACTGAAAGAAGTCAGGGCAGGAACTCAAACAGTACTGAGGCAGAGGCCATGGAGAGATGCAGCTTACTGGCTTGCTCCTCATAACTTGCTCAGTCTGCTTTCTTATAGAACCCAGGTCCACCTGCCCTGGGGTAGTACCACCCACATTGGGCTGGACCCTCCCCCATCAATCACTGCTTAAGAAAATGTTCTACAACTGGATCTTAAGGGGTGCATTTTCTCAGTTGAAGTTCCCTCCTTTCAAATAACTCTAGCTTGTATCAAGTTGACATAAAACTAGCCAGCACAGGTGTTTTCTAATGTAGCCTTACAAAATTGCCAATTTACTTTTTCTTTTTTGATACATGATTTAATACATTTTCCATATACAATCCACATAAGAAGTTGGGTATGGTGTTAATCTTTTTGGAGATGGCGCTCACTTTGTACCTGAGGTTGGCTTCTACACACCTTAGTAACCTTCCTAGTATTGGGATCATAGGCAGGCATCACTGTACCCATCTAATCTTTCTAATAATTTGAACAAAAGGAAAGGTAGAGGGCTTTGAGATTTTGATCTGAAATAGATTAGGAGATTCCTTACAATTTGTTTATTAAATGCATGCTTACTGACCAGTATAAATTTTCTGAAGGATTTAAGGGTTTTGTTCTAAAAGTGTAGTACTCTATAGAGTATTCTTTATGTAGTACTTGAAGATGACACTAGAAACTGATGCTGTAGCACAGGCTTCTGACAGTGTGTATATAAAACTGTCACCTCTGAAACATGAAATACTTGAAGTAGCATTTATGTTTTATATATAGTATTGGCATTTTAAATTGTAGTACTATTTGGTTTCATGACCATTAGTCATTAACCTTTTCAGAAATTTTAAATGCTAATTAGCAAGATTTACCCGTTATTTAAAATAGATTTTAAAAGAAGAATGCTGTAGGAGGTGGGAGGCATGGATAATACTTTTTAAGACAGTATGATATCTTTGGGAATATGATTATTTAGTCACAGACCAATCTGAGAATACCACATTAACCTTGTAAGTATTAAAGATATGAAAACAGCCTATAATTAATACAAGCCTAGTCTGTTAATGTTTTTTACCCTGTATGTTCTGTAACTTTTTTAAAAAGATGAAAAGATAAAAATAGATGACAATATAGAAAGTCATGATAGTGAATTTAGCCAGGTTTCAATCTAATGATTACTTTTAGTAATTATAAAAGTATGTACTAGGAACAATAGTGAGTAATTAATATGCATCATGTCATTTAAGTTCCTTAATAACACCAAGATGTAGATAGTATTAACCTCATTTTACAGGTTATTTTAATAGAATTAAAAGATGCACTGACTTTTCCAGTCACAGAAACTGATTTTATTAGAGATCTGTCTGACTCCTAATCACAGTGCTGTACTGCCTTTCAGTAGTGGGGGTGCTTTGAAAAGGTGAATTGCAAGAAGTTCCCTGTACCTGTGAGCTAGCCACCAGGCATTTGCACAAAAGCTGCATGTTAATTGGTGGTTAGGTTCTGACATGACAGTAGCAGACAAAATAAAAATTCAGTTAAGTTAAAAGTGATCTTTGAAGTGACTTTAAATTCTCCTAAGATGGCTGGGTGCCACAGAGAAAGTTTCTGTTTGGGGCTTTGACGAAGGAACACTGTGTGTACTGTCACCCGCAGCAGCAGGCCCACCCTGCAGCAATGCAGACTAAGGTGGTGGCACTGAGATTCGCTGACTGATGGTTTGCTTTTCTTGTTATGTTTCTTTCCCTTTGCATTTTACAGAGTGAATAGTTAGTGTTTTCTTCTTTCACTCTAACTTTAACAGCTTTATTCTTGTGGGTAGAAAAGATTGAAAGGTCTTACGGGGGAATTGTGTGTGATGGATGTATGCATGTGCAGGTGCCCATGTGCATGTGAGCCTGTGCGTGTAGAGGCCGAAGAATAATCTCGGGTGTCATTCCTCAAACCCTCTCTTGCTTTTTGAGATAGGGTCTCATTGAGACCTGAAGTTCACTAATTTGCTAGACTTGCTGGTCAGTGAGTCTCAGGGATCTGCCTGTGTCTACCTCTCTAGCATAGGGAGACAATATCATGTCTATCTTTTTAAAAAGTTATTTTTATTTTTTTGAGATTATAATATAATTACATTTTTTCTCTTTCCTTCCTCCAAAGCCTCCCCTATATCCCTTCTTGTTCTTTTTCAAATTCATGTCTTCTTTTTTCATTAATTGTTCTTACATATACACATATGTGTACATATATATGTATGTTTCTATGTATATGCATGTATTCTTAAGTTCATAACTACAACCTGCTCAATATGTATAATGCTGCCTGTCTGTATTTTCAGAGCCCACCATTTGGT